AGCGAAGACTGGAGGTGGGAATGAAAGGAGATAGAGGAGGTGAGGGAGTACACATATTTGGGGTACAGATTTAGAGAGGACAACAAGGAAGGCGCGCATGTGAGGGCAATGGCAAAGAAGGCGAATAAGGTGATGGGGCAGGTCTGGGGGTGGGGAGAGAGATTATTTGGAAGGGATATGGGAAAAAGGAAGATGATATTCGAGTGCTTGATTAGAAGTGTTATGATGTACGGGGCGGAGCTTTGGGGGTGGAAAGAGCAAGGGCTGTTGGAAGGCGTACAGGCTAGGTATTGGAGGTGGGTTTTGGGGTTGGCAAAAGAGACGCCGGAGTACATAGTCAGAGAAGAGGTGAAGGTTGATAAGTTAAGAGTGGAGGCGGGTAAAAGGGCGGTACGTTTTGAGGAGAGGGTTGAAGGGAGGTCTCAATGTAAAATTTTGGGGGAGTGCTGGAAAGAGATTAAGGCAGGGAAAGGGGGTTACGGGCAACGAGGGAGGGAGGAATATTTCAGAAGAGTGGGGTACTCAGTGAAAGCGGTAGATGATAGAAGGAGGGAAGGGATTGAGATGTGGAAAGAGCTGGAGAGCAGGGACAGAGATGTACAGAGGCAAGAAAGAAGGGGGCAGATAAGGGAGAGCAGGTACAACCCTAAGTACGAGGAAATAATAACGGAGGGATTGCCGAAGTACCTGTCGGTAGAGGGGGATGAGGAGGGGAAGAGGATGGTGGCAAGATTCAGATGCGGCAATGAGGAGAGAGCGAATAGGTATTGGATGAGAGATGATGAGAGGGGTTGTAGGCTATGTGGGGGGAGTGGGAGTCGTTGGAGCACCTACTGAGGGAGTGTGACGAGCTAAGAGAGGAGGTGATCGGCTGGAAGCAGGTGCTGGGGGAGGGGGCAGAGGGAAGAGAATGGATGAGGGAGGTGGTGGCGACTAGGCAGCGTAGGGAGCTGCGGGGAGGAGATGGGGAGGGGTAGGATAGGAAATAAAATGTATTGTATTGTAATGTGATATATGTAATTGTAGTATGGTTAAAAATTTAATTGTTTGTGGAATGTATTGCTGATTTGGTAGCAATAAACTTAATTACAATATTAAACTTCAAAATCCCCTCTATAAAAGCTTTGGTAACGTTTTCGCGTAAGATCAAAAAGACACAAACGTGCATTGTTTGGATATCTTCTTCTAGCGCATAAGATTCTCGTGGCATCTCGCTCATGCATCTTTTATTAAACGACGGTGACGTTTCCAAAGTTTATTCAAATTTTCATTATTTTCTAATGGAAAAACTAAAGCCCAGTTTGAAAAATAAAAAATTATAGAAATCTTCAATTTTTCTAAACTATCGAATTAGCCAATAAAAAAAAAGTGTAACGGCCCCATTGAAGTACGCTTTTCTTTCTTGAGTTATGGCTCCTTTCACGTATTTCCTCACATCACAGGGAGAGAGCTGCACCCCCGGGTCAGTACATGACTCACAATAGATCACTTCATGGTCAGACATCCCCGCTGATGACACAACACTAGTAGTATTCTTAATGGTGTCAGCATCAGAAACAAAGATGAGGTCAATAATCGTAGCGGTGGTTCTAGTGACACGTGTAGGAGAGCAGATAATCTGAGACAAATTAAATGATTCTAAAGTTTCAACTAACTTTTCTCCCATATGACTATCGAAACTTAAATCTATATTAAAATCACTTGTAAGCATTACTTTATATGCAGTTGGAACAATTATAGACAATTGTGATTTGAGTTCACTCAAAAATGTCTCAGGACTATTTATTCTTTGAGATCTATAAGCAACACCTACTGCGTAAGCAATTCTATGAATCCTGAATTTAATCCAAACCTGCTCTATTGTGTTAATAGATACAATTATAAATTACGTATGAAAAACTAAACGTATGCGATTCAGTCAGTATGTCATCATGTCTGTTGACATCTTTAATTTGGGCAGGTAAACAACTTCTTCTTCTTTCTCGGCATTTAGTCATCCAGTCCTGGACATATGCCTCTTTATTTGTCTTCCACTCGTTTTGGCGTTGTGCTGGTTGCAGCCAATTCTTCCCAGCTTTTTCCTTAATGTCATCAACCCATCTCCTGGGTGGTCTTCCTATGCTCCGCTCGTGCATTCTCGGCCTCCATGTTAAAATCCTTTTGGACCACTTTACTTTCTCCTGTTTTGCTACATGGCCCGCCCATCTCGACTTCGCTTTCGCAGTTCTTTCTATAACATCTTCCAATATCGTTCTTCTAATTTCTTCGTTTGTTACTCCATTCCTTAGACCTATTCCCAGGATAGCATTGCTCTTTATGTTCTTTTTAGTGTTGTTGTTGATTTTATAGTTAGCGACATTGTCTCAATTCCGTACGAACCAGCAATATATTAACTTGTAATGTTATACTGTATGTAAATCATCATCATCAGGCTTGGCTCTACAGCTCGTTGTGAGCCGTTGCCTGCCTTAATAGTTCCTTCCAAATTTGTTTTTCCCGTGCCCGTCACTTCTTTTTTAGGTTCTCTTCCACAACATCCACAAATCGTCTTCGACCTCTCAATCGATCTTCTACCCTTTATTCTGCCTACGAGGCCAATCCATCTTAACCTTTGCACTTTGACAAATTAAACTATTTCTGGTTCGCAATATAGAAGATACAGACGCCAGACACCGTTGGCATTAACAGCTCCATTTATTTCTCTAAGAGAAATAACAATCTGAATATGTTGGAGATCAAGGAAAGAATTAAAGCTGGAAACAGAGCATACTTTAGCCTTCAGCGCATTTATAGAACACTCTTGCGTCTAGTGGTTATGTACGGCAACGAGACATGGGTACTAACTAAGCAGGACGCACGACGCCCGCACACGTGGCAGAGAAAAATATTAGGCGGATTTACGGACCCATTCGGGTTGGTGACTTTTAGTGGATTCGCACAAACATCCGACGCTGGACGACTTTCGGGACGACCGCGCAGACGATAGCTGAACGACGTGAAGGGATGGAGGCGCCGAGCACTCTATAGGGAGAGCTTTTCTATTCCACAAGTTTTTCAGCATACTTAATGGAGATCTTCAATNCAACAATCAAACATTTAAATTTAATTGAAGCAAATAGTGCTAACTGTTTAGAAACCATATGGCGTGTAGTAATAACAATCGGTTTAACCGGTACATTATATAGAACACTCTTGCGTCTAGTGGTTATGTACGGCAACGAGACATAGGTATTAACTAAGCAGGACGCACGATGCCTGCACACGTGGCAGAGAAAAATATTAGGCGGATTTATGGACCCATTCAGGTTGGTGACTTTTAGTGGATTCGCACAAACATCCGACGCTCGACGACTTTCGGAACGACCGCGCAAACGATAGCTGAACGATGTGAAGGGATGGAGGCGCCGAGCACTCTATAGGGAGAGCTTTTCTATTCCACAAGTCTTTCAGCATACTTAATGGAGATCTTCAATATCATAATTCCGTTGGGCTAAAATCATGAGTTGCATGTTCGCAACTCAAAACTCGACTATTCTTTGAAACAAGCCATGAAATATCTCTAATGCATTTGGTTGAGGATGATATGCAGAGCTGTGGGTTATTTTAATGTCACGTTGTTCTGACCCCATTTGAGTATCCAGGTAGTTGATAATATTCAAACATTTTTTTTTGATATTTAACTATCATCCACAATATCCGTTCCTTATAGACTTATTGGTACCACTACTTGTTCATAACTTATATACTTCGTGTATTTATACACGAATCTTCGGTGCAATATTCCAAAGCGAATTTCAAACTTAAATTTAATTTTATTCATTAAACGTGTTTTCCATTCCCTGTAAAAACCTTCAATTAGTAGGATTCATCGTTGTTATGTCATCACCATTAGCTTTTGATTCAGGAATTTTCAACATCTCTTCTAAAATCCTTTCTTCTTTGTTTTTTGATCGAGTTGATGTAAACATATTCCGCACATTATATGAATAATTCCCACGATCTATATAATAAGTATCCGTTTGACAACTTAGTTGTACCTGCTTCTGTTCCAATTTTTGGTTATTTTAATTTTACTACAGCGGACACTGTCTGGCACACTTTCTTCTTTCAGTTCTCCTCACAAGTAAGTATATATTTCCCAGAATAACGGTCTGTATTGGCAATATCCAGTCTCTATCTATTCTAATCAGTGTTTACTTGCTCTCTAGTCTCTTTTTTGTTGCCAAGTTCCCGCTCTTCTCTTTCTAGTCTATCTTTTAATATCAAACTAATTTCCGTCCCTATCCTTTCTGCTTAAACTCATTGCTCTATTACAAATCACTTTCCAACCTGTCCTCAGTATTCTTTCCTTTATCCAATCTCTTTCTTCTAATACCAGCTTCTTTATCCACTCTTCTTTTATCTAACGAATCTCGTTTTCGACTATCAGTCTCTGTTTAGCCTCCTTTATTCAGTCCAGTTGCAGTCTATGGTAGCATCATGTCTGCTCAATATTCTTTTTGTCTTTGCGTTTTCAGTTCGGTCTTTATCATTTATTACTAATTTCCGTGCTGTCTTTCTAGTCTCTCCTCAATCCCTTTCTTCTGCTATCAGTCGCTTTCCTTTCAGTCTTGTCGTCATAGGATATAGAAAATTTTTGTTTTTCCTTTCATATGATACGATGTAACGAAAAATCTTGAGTATTACAAACCAATGTCTCTCGTGTCTGCGCCAATTGTTCGACTCAACCAGATAAAATTTCTAACATTTCTATTCTAATGCACTTTGCTCAAGGAAGGAAGGAAACTCATTTAATCAAAACATTCTATCTACATAAACTATACGAAGAGTTTGTTGAAGGGAATCTGCACATGTGAAATGCGCTTAAGGACCTGTAACCTATATTATATAACTCATTGCCCAAAAATTGCATCTGCTATATTTTAAAATGTGGATATTAAATTTATTTTTTTTTTTTAATTGAGGTTATCGAGGTATTTCGCCTATGAAAAAATACAAACCTTATGGTTGGTTTTATGTAATTTCTTTAATAAAGCATCTAAAACCATCATTTTCCCACTTTCGGTAATTAATCTTTGATCGACCAATCTCTCTTTCAGGTCCTCAGTGATCGGAAATTGTATTAAATGTGGATGATTGGCGAGTTTTTTGAATAACATTACTGGATTTAGGACGGAAGCAAGTTTCGTAAGATATGGTTGACCATCAACAGTGAAAAATCGTTTTTCGCTAGTATTTACGTTTACAATTGGACAATCATCTTTTTTAATATAATCTAGAGTGTAATCAATATTTTCATTTCTACACTTCCGTTTCTTTCTAGGTTGATCAACATCAATCTATATAATAATAAAAACAAATAAATGATATTTTTAATAAATAATTTTGATTGCTTCATCATTAACATACCACTTCTTCTTCTTCAATAGTTTTTCCTGCGAGTGCATTGAGATTTTTTTCTAAAGCGTAACTGTATAGATTTTTTTGTGTTTGAGATAATGGACAATATACCAACACCTCCTTTTTGGGTACGATATCATCTAAAACCTCGCTTTTTAAACGCCTTAATATAAAAGGAGCTAACATACGATGTATTTTTGAAACAATATTTGTTGATTCTTCTTCCTTAATTATCTTATCGTTATCCTAATATAACAGTGCATTAAAAATTAATAAATAAATTAAAAATAAATAATTAAATACCTGCAAATCTTCTAGCAGTAAGAAAGATGAAAACATGTCGATTCTCTTAAAAATCATAGGCATTATAAAGTTTAAAATCGACCATAACTCATCCAAATTATTTTGCAGTGGAGTTCCGGTTAGTAGAAGTTTATTTGAACATTGCAAAGTACGTAATTCACTAACAAAAATATATAAAATTATAAACCAGTAAAGTAATTATTTAAATATTTACCAGGACACTTTAGACTTGTAATTCTTCAACATATGAGCCTCATCAACAATCAAACATTTAAATTTAATTGAAGCAAATAGTGCTAACTGTTTAGAAACCATATGGCGTGTAGTAATAACAATCGGTTTAACCGGTACATTATCACCTTTCAATGTAAACGTTTTAAAAAGGCTGCGTTGTAATTTTTTACGTTCTTCGATATCTCCGTAAAATTCAACCACTGGAAGACTTGGAGCAAATTTTTTGAATTCATTTTGCCAATTTCCCAGAGTAGACAGCGGAACAATGATTAGAAATGGCCCGGAACTACGTTTTTCGTACAAATGAGCTAATAAAGCAATTACTTGAATCGTTTTTCCTAAACCCATTTCGTCCGCTAAGATACCGTTCACTCCGTTTTGGTATAAAGTCTGTCAAAAGTGTTGAATATCAAAAACTAGATTAATTTTTTTTTTAATTAACTTACTTTTAACCAATGAACACCATCAATTTGATAATCTCGGAGAGTTCCTGTAAAGTACTTCAAGTCCTTGTTTTTATCACTTATGGATTCTTGGGTTACAGGTTGATTGAGCATATTCTTTAATTTTTTACCTTCTCTAATAACAAAAAAAAACCATTAAGTATGTTTGATTCGTAATCTCATTATTAATGTTCCAAGTTAATTTAACTTGTAATAGAATATTATAATATATACCGGGATACACATACTTATAATAAAAATAAAGCAAGAATTTTATTGTTTAATTCTTTTATTTAATAAAGTAACTTCAATGTGTTGCAATTAATATCGTATAATTCGATCAACACGTATCGCAACGCTTAACTAATGCATAGTTTCGTCTGATTAAATCGAGATCACTTGCGCCCGAAACATTGCACTTAACAACATGTCCCATTATATTAATATCATATACTATTAATTGCAACGTAATAATAATAGATAAAATGTTTTAAAAAATAACTTGGAGAAGTTGAAACTCAGGACTTATTGGCAAAAAAGTTTTTGATATGAGGGTAGTTATAAGTAAACCATAAACGATAATGAATAAACACCGTACAAGGAAAAGCAACTATGTATGTGTCAAATTCATTTGAATGTCTATTAGGTACGCATGACATTTTTTTATTTACGGAAATTCGCCAAAGTGATAAAAGCACGGTATTAGGTAAAGCAGATTCAATAATTTGTGGAAAAAAATGAAAGTCAAAAATTATACAGTCTTCATCGCACCAACAGTGAATTCGATGACATGTTATTAGTTTATAGGGGAAGTACGCCAGATAGTTGTTGCTGCAAGTTGATTGTACGCAAATACGGCAAGGTCGGGATGGTGGACCTGGCTAATACAAACCATTTCCGGATGAAAAAAGAAAATTAAAGAAAATCCTTCTNGGTATTAGGTAAAGCAGATTCAATAATTTGTGGAAAAAAATGAAAGTCAAAAATTATACAGTCTTCATCGCACCAACAGTGAATTCGATGACATGTTATTAGTTTATAGGGGAAGTACGCCAGATAGCTGTTGCTGCAAGTTGATTGTACGCAAATACGGCAAGGTCGGGATGGTGGACCTGGCTAATACAAACCATTTCCGGATGAAAAAAGAAAATTAAAGAAAATCCTTCTTTGACAAAAAATATCTTGCCAAGTAGACGTTTCTAATCGAATTGTCTGGCGAAAACTGTGCGAAAATTAATTATATTTTATTAATTTTATCCTTTCAATGCATAAAAAGTATAAAAACGTCATAAATATAAAACGTCAAAACTATAAGTTAAGTAGGTATTGTAATCTAAAGTCAATTCAATACAATGATAAGTATTTTCACAATGATGCGTCAGTGATAAAACTTATGTAACTAATGTTGGTGATGATGATTGCAATGTTAACCGTTTAAAATTTCCAAAAAAAGGGGTGACTGTGAGGGTGGTGTAGCTATTTTCTTATGTAATGCGATTTCTTCATTCAAATTGTTTACTTTTGATGTCTAATAAATAAAACACAGGTATTATCGCTCACCACATGGAAATGTTGAGATGTTTCTTGATGGATTAAATGATACTTTATCGACATTAGATCTAAATAAGAGTATAGTACTGACGTGTGATTTTAATGTTAGTTTGCAGCCTCTGTGAAACCTATGGGCTCAAATGAGTAAACTTTGAGGGCAGTCGCAACAGCGCGTGTCCAGACAATATATTTACCAATTTTACTGATTGTTCTGTTTGCGTAATTGAGCCTTGCATCGTCTGGAAATTTCATTCTACTCTAAAATACAGTGTGAAATTCACATACCAAAAACTAGATTTAAGCATAGACCTCTAACGACACAAGGATTGTATCAATGCGTGAATGCAAAATTCTGTAAGTTCATGCAATTCTTTACGAATACCCACGACTTGGGTTTTCCCGAAAAGACCTTTTTAGTTAACAATAAAAGTGTAAACCGCAACATACGTTGGTTCATAAGAAACTTGAGAAATAAACTGCAATTGTTAATTGTTAACGTTCCTGTATAAGCAACATCCGCGACTTGTTACGAAACAAATGTTGAATAAACAGAAAAGTTTACAAAAATGCTATCTTAAATAGTAAAAGCAGAGGCGGCGCTACCGGGGGGTGCAAGGCGTGCACTGCACCCGGGCGCCACCTAAAAGGGGGCGCCGGCGCCTTTTTAATGTTTTCTCCAACAATATCTTATCTTCTTTTGCAGTATTTAGACCTGTCAGCAGTAGCTAGTCTTCAGAAAGCAGTATTTAGTCTCCACAAAGCATTTTTAGTCTTTGGAAAGCAGTATTTAGCGTTCCAGACGCTGTATTTAGACCTGTCGGCAGTATCTAGTCTTCAGAAAGCAGTATTTAGTCTTCCAGAAGCAGTATCTAGTCTTCTGCCAACGTTATGTATGTTTTCTCTTGTTACGGTTGTATTTTTCCTTAATGTTTCATTTGAGTGTTTAACCTTTACTTTCCTAATTCTTTGTTTTAATTTTATTTTGGGTTAGATATTTTATTTTGTTATCGAGTATTTTGAGTTGCATAAATTTCGCGATGATTTATTTTGTTTATTTTGTTGAATTTTTGTTCAATTAATTTTTCTTTTTCAGCGACAATTCTCCGAAGATCTCCTTTCATGATTTTCCTTTTTCCTTTTCAATTTATTTTCCTCTAAACTTATTTTACTTCTTCGTTTCCCCTAATTCTTTCGTTATTCTTGCTTGTGCGCAAGTATCAATTTTTGAGGATATTTATCGTCCGTGTAAAGCCGTGTGTCCACTACCAAGTTTTCTTGCGGAAGCTGCTTCCAGAAGTGAGTTCCAGAAGTTTTTGTCCTGTAAACACGACAAAAACATGCGTGTTTACACGACAAAAACATGCGTGTTTACACGACAAAAACTTCTGGAAGCAACTTCCGCAAGAAAACTTGGTAGTGGACACACGGCTTAAGATTTTCACTTCCTCTTTTCAAGTCAGATCAGTACGTGTACGCACGTAGAGTTAGAATTTTTGGTAAAGCCATTTTGAATTTTTCGCGTGGTGATTGGTTCCTAATCCAAATTTTTGGGATTCATCTACGTGTTGTGCAATTTATTGGTAACGTTTTTGCACGTCCAATTATCGGATTATTCTGGATTAAACCGTATTTTGAAACTTTTCTAAGTTTTTCTGACTAAACCTCGAAGATCTGAGGTAAGATATTTTTATTAAATATATTTTATATTCTCCCTTACACATTCATACCTTCATTTATTCAAACATACATCCTTTTAACACCAAATTAATTAAATTATTATCATCATTTTTTTTTATATCTTATTTTTCCATCCTTTCTACTTTTTTTTTAATATTTTTTTTCCTTTTCTAATTTCCTCGTGTTCATTTAAGGTTTTAATTGAAGAGCATAAATTTTGGCAACCTTTCTGTAACATTTTCGAGACAGAAGTTTGGTTATTTTGTGAGATTTTCAATCCATTTTCGAAGTTCTACCTTTTCGGAGGGGTTCTTCCCTGAGGATTTTGGTCGAGGTTGCATTGCCACCACCTATTAAGTTTTCCTTTTCATGAATCGGAGGAGATTGTCGCTGGAGCTGGAAGAATTTGCTTGGATTGTCTAAACGTGGTCAAGACAAGGTCCTGGTGAACTTTTGTTCAGTTAATTAGTACAATTTAAATTAAATTCATTAAATCTTAAATCAAATAAATTAATTAAATATATTATATTTATCATAAAAAAAAATTATCATAGATTGAAAATATTCAGTATTTTGTTGTCAGTTAAATCAAACAAAATAATTTTTATTTTTCTTGTAAAATTTTGGCGTACATTTTTTTTTGTTTCACGATTTAGTTTTTATTTTCTTTCTCGACGCCACACTGATATCAGGGGTACGGGTCGTACGCGTAATTCAATTCAAATTTATTATTTTCTTTTTGCGTACTTGTTTTGGTCATTTTTTTTTGGTACGCCAACAATCCTTTCCTTTTTTTGATTGTGTTGCTTCACGTTTGCTGGACAACAACATTATTACTTACGTATATCATAATATTTTTTTTATTTACCTTATTATTTTTTTTTTATTTTTACCGAATAAATATTTTTTTTGCAACTTAAAATATCTCGAACTGTTTATTATTATTTTTTTTTTGTGTTTTGTTATTTTTTTGTGTTTGTGTCCACTTGTGTCAATTGCATCACTTTACCAGCTCACGTCACAGTTCGTGGACAACGCAGGGTTAACTGTGTGGCGCCTTATAAATAACCCTACCCGTCTTCACTGGGTCGGCCGAGGACCTGCGTTAGTTATTGAATTGCTAATCGACTGTATTGTTCTTTTTTGTGTTCATAAGACGTCACACTCTAACAATATCTTATCTTTCTTTTGCAGTACTTAGACCTGTCAGCAGTATCTAGTCTTCAGAAAGCAGTATTTAGTCTCCACAAAGCAATTTTAGTCTTTAGAAAGCAGTATTTAGTGTTCCAGACGCTGTATTTAGACCTGTCGGCAGTATCTAGTCTTCAGAAAGCAGTATTTAGTCTTCTAGAAGCAGTATCTAGTCTTCTGCCAACGTTATGTATGTTTTCTCCAACAATATCTTATCTTTCTTTTGCAGTACTTAGACCTGTCAGCAGTATCTAGTCTTCAGAAAGCAGTATTTAATCTTCCAGAGCAGTATCTAGTCTTCAAAAAGCAGTATTTAGTTTTTTAGAAGCAGTATCTAGTCTTCTGCCAACGTTATGTATGTTTTGTTCTTGATACTGACAGCAACTTTTTTTCTGGGTGTCTATCATCATCTTTTTGGGAGCCTCTTATTGTCTATACGGATCTTGTACCACCCGGTACCTCATTTCTGCAGCTGTTACTTTGCTTTTGTGCTTATCCTGCATTGGCAAAGTATCCGTATTGGTGATTTCCTGTCCTGTACAATAACAAGATAAGTCCATTGGTTTCTTGTTCATATTCTTCGCATTCTTTTATTGAACACATAAGTATTGCCATGAAAAATCATGTTTGGTTTATAATCAATTTAGACTTCATGTGGACTTTGAACAATGTAATTCCTGTTTTTTTGTTGAAGTCTAGTTTATAACTATTGCAATT